CTTCCTCGAGAAGTACTTCCCAGAGAGTGTCAGGCATGCTCGGGAGGCAGAGTTTATGAGATTACAGTAGGGAAATGTTGGTGACCGAGTACGCCATGAGATTCGAGCGCTTGGCACGCTTCTACACCCAAGCTACCTCTGAGGCTTGGAAGTGTAGGAAGTTTGCTGAAGGCCTGAAGTATGATTTGAGGAGAGTGGTGGTGCCTATGGCTATCATAGAGTTTCCAACCTTGGTAGAGAAGGCAAAGGTTGTAGAGCGGCTAGAGAGCGTCGGCAAGCTGACGAAGACTATTGGTGGGCCAATTGGGTCCAAGAGTGGTGGTGGTTCTCAGAGGAAGTCTTATGATAGGCCTCAATCACAGCAAGTGGGTCCTATCACAAGAAACCTACTGACACATCTAAGAGTGGGGGTCAAAGTGGAGTTGCTACTCTCATATGTTATAGATGTGGTGGACCTCACTTCATTCGTGATTGCCTTCATACCGAGAGCAAATGCTTTAGGTGTGACCAGATGGGTCACATGTCGACTAGTTGTCCGGCAGGTGCCAGACAGACCAGGAGTGCCCCGAGAGTTGATAGATCTACTGTAACTAGGAGGGTGTTTGCCTTGATCGGAGTCGAAGGTTCCACTTCATCTGATCTAGTGAAGGGGAAGGGTAAAGCTACTGGTAAGGATGTGATGATATTATTTGACTCAGGGCCTCCCATTCATTTACTTCATATGCATGTGCTGAAAAGTTGGGTTTGCCTGTATGTAATTTGGGGTTGAGGCTGCTAGTGTCTACGCCCGTTTCTATTTCTATTGTTGCCTCTAAGATGTGTGTTGGTTGTCCCTTGGAGATGTGTGATAGGAAGTATAAGGTGAACTTAATCTGTTTTCCTTTAGTGGATATTGACATAATCTTAGGGATGGATTGGTTATCTGCCAATCACATTCTTATAGATTGTGCCAATAAAGAGTTGGTTTTTCCCTTAGGGGGAGAATGAATTGTTGATTTCAGCCAGCCAAGCTAAAGTGATGTTGAGAGATGAAGTACAGTGTTGTATTTTGCTTACTGTTGTGAGTGTGAAAACTGAGAAGGTGATCAATAGGTAGGAGTTGTGAGGGAATTTCGAAGGTGTTTTGGATGAGGTGCCTGAGTTACCTCCTACTAGGGAGATTGAGTTTAGCATTGATCTGGTTCCTAGTATAGGGCTAGTGTCGGTTGCTCCCTATAGTTTGGCCCCAACAGAGTTGGTTGAATTAAAGTGTCAGGTGGAAGAGTTGAAGAGAAAGATTGAGTACTTCTCCTGTGTTGGTGTTGCCTGATCCTAGTGAGCCATTTGAGGTGTGTTGTGATGTTTCTCACCAAGGTTTGGGGTGTGTGTTGATGTAGAATAGAAGAGTAGTTTCATATACTTTAAGGCAACTGAAGAATCATGAGAGGAATTACCCTACTCATGACTTAGAGTTGGCAGCAGTTATTTTTGCTTTAAAGGTATGGATGCACTATTTTTATAGTGCAAGGTTCAACGTTTTTAGTGATTACAAGAGTCTGAAGTACTTGCTTGATCAGAAGGAGCTGAACATGAGACAGAGACGGTGCATGGAATGTTTTAAAAGACTATGAATTTCAGTTGATGTGTCACCCTAGGAAGGCCAATGTAGTGGCAGGCGCTTTGAGTAGGAAGTCCATCCACATGTCTAGTCTGATGGTAAAGGAGTTGGAGTTGGTTGAAAAATTCAAAGATTTGAATCTGTATGTGGAGTTGGCTCAAGACCATATTAGCTGTGGCATGACTACCATTGCTAGTGAGTTCTTGTAGCAAGTTGGCATGAAGTAGTTGCAAGATTCAAAAATTGTGAAGGTTCTTAATTTGTTAGATACAGAGAAAGTAGTTGGCTTTGAGATGGGTGAAGATGGGATTTGAGGTTTAAGGGCAGAATTTACCTACCTCAAGATTATGAGTGAAGAGAGACACTGTTGAATATATGGAGGCTTGTCTGACCTATCAAAGGGCTAAGGTTGGGCACTAGAAGTCTGGTGTTTTGTTGTAGATGATGGAGATCCTGTAGTGGAAGTTGGATAGTATCACTATGGGTTTCATTGATGGGTTTCCTAAGTCGACTAGGAATAGTGATGTTATTTGAGTAATGGTTGACATATTGACCAAGTGTGCACATTTCTTGACTGTCAGTATCAAGTGGTCCTTAGAGAAGTTGACACAGTTGTATGTGAAGGAAATAGTATGGTTGCACGGGGTTCCTTCTAGTATTATTTCATATAGGGATCCAAGCACTTCTAGATTTTTGGCAGAGTCTACACCAAGCCTTAGGTACGAGGTTGAGATTGGGTTTTGCTTATCATCTACATTGGATGGTCAGTCAGAGAGGATGATTTAGTCCTTGGAGGATTTGGTGAGGGCTTGTGTGCTAGACCACTTGGGGAGTTGGGAGGAAGTCCTACTACTGGTGGAGTTCACGTACAATAATAGCTTTCATGCTAGTATTGAGATTTGAAGCATTGCATGGTAGGAAGTGTAGGACTCCTCTATGTTGGTATCAAAGATGGTGAGTTGGTAGTCGCGAGGCTAGAGTTAGTTTTATAAACTATTGAGGAGGTGAAGTTGATTCAAGAGAGGATGAGGTTTGCCTAGAGTAGGCAGAAATCATAAGTTGATAGAAGGCAGAGGCCTTTGGAGTTTTCTAGGGGGCAAGTGTTTCATGTTTCTCAGTCAAGGAAGTATGTTCATGATCCAAGTCATGTTGTAGAAAGGGATGAAGTTCAGGTTAGGGAGAACCTAACTTATGAGAAGATGCTTGTAGTTGTAGTTGATTATAAGTTGAAAAGGTTGAGAGGCAAGTTTATTGGCTTGGTGAAGATCTTGTGGGATGCAACTACTAGTGAGACTACTTGGGAGATTGAGCAACTGTGTAGAGAGTAATATCTTTTCCTACTTCCAAGTAAATCTATTTTCGGGGACAAAAATGCCTGCTTGTTGGGGGTTATTGTAGCGTAGCAAGTTTTAGAAGGCCCAAAGCCCAGTGTGGGTAATTTAGTAGCCTAGAACGGGTCGTTCCCAAACTGGAACAGGCCGTTCCAAACTACTAAATAGGCCTATAAATCGTAGGCTGGAACGGGCCGTTCCAAAATGGTCATTATGACTTAAATTCAACTCCAGAACGGGTCGTTCTGGTTTAAGAATGGGTCATTCTAGACGTGCCAAAATGGGCCATTTTAGTTTTAGAACGGGTCATTCTGCATGTGAATTTTACACATGATGAAGTAGCCCATAACGGGCCGTTCCGGATTTGAAACGGGCCACTCTGGCCACTTCAAACTTTTATAAATAGGACTTTTGTGCAGTTGAGGAGAAAGAGAGGTTTTAGAGAGAATTTCTAGAGAGAAAGACTCTGGACTAGAAAACTTGTTTTTGGAGGATTGAAGTTCAAGAGTCAAGCTTTGGAGGATATTTCTTCTTCTTCTCTTTCTTCTTCTTCTTCTTCTTCTCAGATTCTTGGCTAGAGCCAATCTTCAGGTAAGGGGAGCTAGATTGTATGTTGTCTGGTTATATGTGAGTTTAGGAACTCATATGGAGTAAGAATGTTGAGAATCATTGATTGATTTGAGGACTTTCTCATTTTCGGGGTTATAGGAAAAATGGGGTTTTTGATGATTTTGATGCATGCTTGATTTCATGTTGAATTTGAGGTTATTTTTTGAGTTGTATGGAGTTGTATAATTACATTGAGATGTATGATGAGTAGAAAGTGAAATGAAGAGATGCATGTTAAGTATAGTGTTGTAAACTAAACGAGTAGTTGTGCCAAATAGAAATATGTTGAATATGTGATATTTTGTTAAAGTCAGTCCAATAGCTGCTTTAGGCATAATAAGCAATCCAGTGACAAGATACATTGAAATTCAGCATTGACTGAAAATTATCAAGGGCACGACTAAATAGGAAAATTAAAATTTCCCAGGGATTTATATCAAGCTACAAGAATAACAGAATCTCAATCTTAATTCAACATATAAAAGCATTTAAAACACAAAAAATAAAAATTCAGATTTAGGAATGATGAGCAAAAATGCGATTATTATTCAAGAAATGGGATTATTATTGCTAAATGCCAGCATTAAAAGCAGGGAGAAGATTTTATTATTGATTCATTTTCTCTTAACTCTTTAAAATAGGAATAAGTCATAAAAGTTGTATACCACACAAGCTTTTCTTTTAATATTTAAAAAAATAATTGTTAATTAAGAGAACAAATTAAAAAGGGAGGATACGGAAAAAAGAGCAAAACACAAATAGGTATGTTTAGTCTAACATCAACTAGAAATATGACCAATGTAGTTCTTATAAGACTTGGACAACCCTCGCCTAACAATATAAATTCTTATAGGGTTGAGCCTTTGAGAAAAAGAAAGGAGGTATTCCCACTTATTAGAGCAAAGAATGGAAAGAGGGGTATGAATGTAAAATGATATTTTTGTATGAGTAGCATCAATCTTAATCTTGTCTGCCCATAAGTCAACACTTGGTCATCCCCTTATGTTACGGAAAGTTAGGTTCAAACATTTTATGTCTAACATAGACTGAAATTTACAAACAAAATTAATATATTTCTCTGATATTCACTATTTTTGCATTCTAATATTGGCACAGGAAGGGGTGAAGAAGATTATAATCCAATATTATATCTTTTCTTTTTTAGAATTAGAATAAATTAAGTTAGAAAACACAAAGAATAAAGATGAATTTAGCTTGATAATCCAGGCTTCAATAGAAGTGATAAGAATTAAATCCCTTAAAAACAAGGATCAAAGGAATTGTCCAAAAAATCTTATTATAGTTTTGCAAAAAAAAAATAAACGAAAAAAAATGAAAAATAGTAAATTGCAGCTATAAAAGCAGAGTAGCAAGTTATGAATTGCATAACACCAACACATATAAGAAATAGCATGGTATTAATCACCTCATGATCATCAATATCAGAAAGACTTTCTGATTCATTTTGAGTTTCTGTGTTCAGATCATCTTCTTTATGTGACTCATCATGCTCACCATCTTTAGTGGCCACATTTTCATTAATCACTGGAAACATTTTAAGCAAATTAGGATTGCAAAACTATGAGCAGAGAAATTATAGTAGCCAAGAAAGATAAAGACAAATGAAAGCACCTACCAATACTTTCTGGCACTGAGGAATGTAATTCTTCTATTTGGCTCCTGCATTCATTGTTTGACTCTTCCACCAACTAACCAAAAGAACATTAAAAAAAATACGTGATATTTTATGCCAAGTTAGCTCATAGCACTTTGAAGATTGCATATGGGCATCATGTCTGAAAAGAGAAAATTCAGTTGACTAGATTAACATTAGATGCTCCTATATGGCTTATGACACGGTCATGTTCAAGACAATTCATATCATTATCAGGAATTTTGTAGTGTCATACTTAAACAATTTTTTCATACTTGCAAAGAATAATAGAGGTTTAGGTATAATCGAATTAAACCATCTAAACCCTTTATATTAGCTTCATAACCTAAGTAATGTGTTTGTTCCAATAATTATTGACTTGTAGAATTTTATGAAACAAGTATGTGTAAAGGAACACATTAGAAATCCACACAATCATAAAGTAAGACATTATAGAGCACAAGATTACATTGGAAAAACTAAAGCAAGGGAAATTATAGGCAAGGTAGCAAAATTACCTTTTGATTAGCCTGTTGCTGTAATAAATCTTCTGTTACTCTTCTAATCCCCGCTTCCCCCACTGACCTCTCTTGCTGTAATAATCATTTATAGGATTATATATCTAGGATTTATTATTTGGTGGAATGTGAAATTGGAGTAAGGAGTTGATGGAAAAACAATGAAGAAATTTGAAGAAAAGGCACTTTATCCTAAATATATAATTGTACCTTAGTTTGTCATAGTTGTTACTTTTTCCATTCTTTTGGTTATTTTTTTTTTATCGAGTTTGCCAAAGAGAAAGGATGAGGCTTCAAAAAGGGTTTAGGTGCGAAGAGAATAGCAATGTGCTTTTGAAAGGGCTTGAGCATGAGGAGAATGATCGATCAAATTAGTGTTTGAGTTTAGGTGGATGCGATTAATTGGGAGAGGTGATGAGACTGATTCGATTATGTTCTTTCCAAAGAGGGTTTGGGCACACATGAGTAAGAAGAAACTTTTCAATACTAAATCAGTCACTCAGTAAACCGATGTTGAAAACTACACATTTGCATCATTCCCCCTTAAAATTGATGTAAATATGCTAACATTTTATACTTAATTACAAAAATTCCATCTCATTTTATTTCTACATTGTTTTTATTCCAATTGATATAGAAATGTTATGGTGGAATAATACTTTTCTAGTAGCGTAGTTTTTCACTTGTAATGACTTTGTTAGGCACATGTTTTAGTTCTTGGTTTAGTTTTGCTTCCATGTATGATACCTCTATTCGAGGGGATTTGCAAATGATTTGCTATTTATTGAAGTTTATTTTTAACTTTTTATTTCTTTTTATTTTATAAGATAATCTTAGCATGTGGGAAAAGGGTGTCACATTAATTCTTATTTTAACAACCTATATAAGAACTCTGTTGGTATACAATTAAAGTCTCATATTGTTTGAACAAGAGGATGCTCATGAGATTATACACACACAAAGTCTACATTTGTAATAGGCCTTTTAATTGATGACCAAAAGCACAACCACGAGGGTTAAGACCCAAAGTGGACAATATCTTACTAATGTGGAGACATATGTATGTATGTTAAAACTCCTCGAGGCATAACAAATGGTATCAAAGTTGATTTGACTAAGTGACCAACTCGACGAGTAAGATGGAATTGGCAGGTGCATTCGGGTATAGGATCCCTTGTATCGAAAGTCTTCCTAATGATGGATCCATATATGAAATAAAGTATTCTTGATAATATGAAGGGTTAGGAGGCATGTCTTGCTATCATAGGTTAAATGATGGAGTGACGGTGCAAGTACTTATAATGTGATTGAGTTGTATGAGCCACCATTAGATATACTCGTGGAATAATAGCTTCCACTGCAAAAAAGGGTTAAACTATGGTCTTTTACTCAAGGGAAGAATTGTTGGGATGTAACTAAAGTTTCATATTATTTGAAAAAAAGGATGAACATTTATATACATACACAAAGTTTCCATTGGTAATAGACCTTTTAGTTGACGATGATCAAAAGTAAAACCACGAGGGTTTAGGCTCAAAGTGAACAATATCTTACTAATATGAGACATATGTGTGTTGTATGAAAACCACTCGGTACACAAATGTTATCAAACTCGATGGTTTCGACCATGTGACCAACTCGGCAAGTATGATGAAATTGGCAAGTGGATCCCAGTGTAGGATCCCTTGTATCAAAATTCTTTCTATTGGTGGGTTCATATATGGAAGAAAATATTCTTGGTAACTTGGAGGATTAGGAAGCATGTCCGCTATTGTTCGTTAAATAATGGAGCGATGGTGCAAGTACTTAGAACATGACTAAGTTCTATGGCCCCTATCAAATATACTTATGGACTGATAGCTTCCACTACAAAAAGAGGTTAAACTATGGTCTTTTTTTTTAATGAAGAATTGTTAGGAAAACTATGAGGATTTATATACACACACAAAGTCTCCATTAGTAAAAGGTTTTTTGGATGATGACCAAAAGTAAAAATATGAGGGTTTAGACCCAAAGTAGACAATATCTTACTATTATGAAGACATTTGTGTATGTGTGTGTGAAAACCCCTCAGAGTGCAACAAGTGGTATCAAATTTGATGATTTCGACTAAGTGACCAACTCGACAAGTATAATGGAGTTGGTAGGTGGATCCGAGTATAGAATCCCTTGTATTATAAGTCTTCCTAACAATGTGTTCATATATGGAAGAGAGTTTTCTTGGTAACACAAGGTTAGAAGGCATGTCTTGCTATCATGGGTTAAAAGATGAAGTGACGATGCAAGTACTTAGAGTATGACTAAAATCTATGGGCCACCAACAACTATATACTTGTGGATTGATAGCTTCCACTACAAAAAGGGGTTAAACTATGGTCTTTTATTTAAGTGGAGGATTATTGGGACGTAATTAAAGTCTCACATTGTTCAAACAAGAGGATCAATATGAGTTTTATATACACATGCACACACAAAAGTCTCCATTGGTAAGAAACCTTTTAAGTGATGACCAAAAGTAAATCACAAGAGTTTAGACGCAAAGTGGACAATATCTTATTAATATCTTACTAATGTACAACAAGTGATATCAGAGCTGATGGTTTTGACCATGTGACCAACTTGACGAGTATGATGGAGTTGGTAAGTAGATTTGGATATAGAATCCCTTATATCGAAAGTCTTCTTAAAGGTGGATCCATATATGCAATAGAGTCTTCTTGGTAACGTAGAGGGTCACTACAAGGAAAATGATAATTTGCGACAGACAAATTGCGACGATTTTCTTGAAACCGTCGTCGCTTTGATATTGTGACCCTTCATACGACAGTTTTTCAAAACTATCGCAAAATTGTCAACATTGCGACGGTTTATATTAAACCGTTGCAAAATTTATTCAACATTGTGACGGTTTATAGTAAACTGTCGCAAAATTGTTCAATATTGCGATGGTTTATAGTAAATCGCCGCAAAATTTGTAGGTTATATATATAATAAAATATTTAGCAAGAGGTTAAAATACTTAAATACTATTATCTTTTATGAAATGAGGAAACAAGGTTTGCTATTCTCACCTGCGTGCGTGCGTGCTTCAACAACAACACATACCCTCACCTCACTTTTACTTTCATTCCACACACCAAAACGCCAACCTCTCTCTACACTCCTATGAAGCTAGGGTTTCCATTTCACTCACCGGCCAGGTTCCCGTTCTCGCTCTAATTCTTTTCTTCCTCTTTCTCTTAATTTCTTTCCCTTTCTCCTTTTCGCTAATAATATGTTTCCGTCTTTTCATTCTTTTACCGCTGCGTTTTCACCTTTTCATTTTGACACAACCATGAACCTATGGAACATTAGTGTTTTCTTTTAGGGTTTTTCTATATCTTATATCAACCTTCCATTTTTAGGGTTTTGGATATTGTGCCCTTTTTTTAATTAAAAATAATTAGGTACTGTTTTTGAAAATTAAGGATTCATATTCGGTTATGTGCTTTCTGGGTTCAGACTGAATTTTTCTTAATCATTAAATTTCTACTTTGTTTATTTAATTTACTTGCATTTTGTGTGCGGGATTTTTGATTTTATTTATGAATTGGGCATTTCAGGAATTGAGTAACATAGGTTCAGTGATCGTGATTGGAAGGTTGCAATTTGGTTTATCTGGGTAGAAACAAAGACGGGTGCTGTGGGAAGTAGGTATGGACCTTCACCATCCTTAAATTTTTTATAATTAGCAATAAAATATTTGATTAACATGTAGCTTCTTAAAGGAGTTCCACCTCTGCCACTTTGTGTCCTGCTTAAAGAAGTTTTAAAACTATAATAGATGATTGTCTCTATTGAATATTGCACAGAAGTACTGAGGTTATTTCCAACCACTAAAGCTTCTACCATCTCCTTTTCATCTACAACTTTGAGGCATAACTATGTTATAAACCATAGGTTTTCCTTCAAGAAGTAGACTGATTACATTTTTTTCATGCCCCATGGCCTCTGGCCAGAAAGAGATTATCCTTGGTCATTTTTGGACTGGGTTATTTCTATGGCTGGTACCAACAACCAAGAAATGCATAAATGTGGAAAACCAGCTTGGAACTGGGTTTATCTTAAAATTTCAGTCGTGTAACTTAGATCATTGGCTAACAAAATCAATGAGAAGCTGAACCTGGGATCTTATGTCCCATTTAAGATTATTAACAATGTTTCCTTCTCTTTTTCTTTTAGTGAAATAAGTTTGATTTTGTGAAGTTCATTAATAAGTTATTAATTAGAAATAACAGTTTGTTGTTTGGCCACTAGGGAACTGTAAATTTAGATTTTGTCATTATCGATACTTTAATGCATTCTTTCCCATATTTCTACTAGTGGCCAGCTTTGAACATTTTCTATTAGTAGTTTATTATTTGTATTGGTAGTGACTACACTACATTTTCTATGATTTTTTGAAGGTCAAAACTCTGCTATTGAAGTTGAATTAATGATTGAGCTACTAAATGGTCGTTGTCTTGCTGATTAATGAAAATTGTGTGACAAAAAATTGTTTTACTCTTTTGGTATCAACTTTCATGGAATCATGTTCTGAAGTTGTTAAATTTGCTGTTTTAACATCACCCACCTTTATCCAATAACCTGCAACTAATTAGGGATCATAAATCACTGTCTGTGTGTTTAGAACTGCATCACAAACACTC